ATGGTTTTAATGATAAAGTACAGTTACTGGAATATTACCATGCATGTGGAGTATTTCTTTAATACATTGTGATTTGTAGTTTTAGCACATCCGACAAAATTTAACTCAATTGCACATGAATGTCAGATACTAATATTGATATTTATCAGGGAAATTGAAAAGAATATCCAAACACCACTATTGTCAGCACACAGACTGTAATTCAGAATAGGATGCGTGGCTTCTTGGAACATGCTTTCAAATTCTCCCTCTCGTGTTCCGTTTTGAATGTTCAGCTTCATTTAAGCCTGAGAAGCAGGAAACAACATCTGAGCAAAACAACTATTTATATTTTGGATTTTATTCATTTACATTTCTATTACGTCATTATTTAAAATAGTGATTTATGAATCAGTCCTTTATAGTTTTAACAAAGTTACTTTTCAATTAAGTGAAGATTTAGCAAAGTAGTGTTTACTGTGTATGTTTGTGATTGTACACTGAGGTTAAAGTGTGCAGAGAGATTCAAACAGCTGTAAGGTTGTATGAGAATGGGCCAAGGTAAAGTGGGCTCTGGTGATGCGTAAAATGAGCTGGGAATTGGGGAACTGGAGTTCAGTCTTAGTGTGAAATGAAGTTTTTCCCCTTCATTAATCACTTTATTATCCAAACTCCAAAGAAATCACATACGTAGATACAAATGCATATACCATTCAAATGTCTACACTAATGTGCTATCATGGAGGCTGACCAGCTGAAAGGCACAGAGAAAAACCATCTTATCTTGCCAGCAAAATGTTTGAGATGGCAGCTACCTTCTTTCTGTTTTGGATCCATACATGTAGTGCCTGTGTTTTGTATGTGTGTGGGCATGTACGTGCAGCCTTGCACATCTCTGTTTCCACTTACTGGATAGAGAAACATGCAGCCTTGCACGTCTCTGTTTCCACTTACTGGATAGAGAAATTCTAGCCTCTGACTTTTGTCTCACTGTCAGTGCAGACTGTGTAGAAGAGAGATTAGCAGCCTGAACTCATTTATGAGATGCACCGATGCAAAAGGGATGCCGGGGTAAAAAGAGAGAGGTACTCCCTCAATCCCAATTTCCACACTCATAGATTCATGGACTTTGAGGCAGGTTCCCACCAAGTTAGTGAGGGTCAGGGCTGTCCCACTGTGAAATTGTCAAGTGCCTGAGGGCTCTCTCGCCTTCATTTTGAGCCCTTTATGCTCTCTTACCTTAAGTTGGCATTTCTGCAGACCTCACCTGAGGGAATCCTCCAGAGTTCATTGCGAATCACTCACATGTGCCAAACCACTATAAAGAATTTCTTACGATGTTGGTGAATAGATTTTTGTTTGTGATCCTCACAGTATTCATTATTACTATACATTTAAAATATGATGCATGTGTTTCCAATGTTCATTTTTTATGGAATGAGAAGTTGCTATTGAATTTATTGAAATGTAATTTTTCAGTACTGTGAGCTCCACAAAATAAAGTCCATTCATTTCTTTTGCATTAGGCTGATGGCAGAATATGCAGGCTAATTTCTCAATATGTTGGAAAATTAAACCAGAAACTATCAGGAAGGCCTAGATGCCATTAGAGGTAGGTGAGAAAATGGTTTTTGTAATTTGCATGAAATGACCTTCAAGTAAAGACCTGTTATCTCAGCAGCTAAGTGACTTACAAAAAGCTTGAGCTGAAGTCCAGCCCATATTAGTGGAAATGTCCTGGTGGAAAGAATGGTACATGACCGGTGATGTCAGTCCGGCTGGTATCCAGGTGGGGGGGTAGGGGGTTAATTTGTTGGCTTGAGAACACTTTAGCGAGGCAGATACTTTTTATACCAGGAGCCTGAGCCTGACTCCTCTGGTTGTCTTCTCATGCACTGTACTGCTGTCCTGCTGTTAAAGTTGCCAGAAATGGTGGTTCTGGATGTGTGTCAACTGGCTTTCCTGTGATGATGATGTGATGTGAGGAGGATAGCTTCGGGCTAATTGGGACAGCTCTGCTGTGGTCAGCCTGACTGAACACAGCACTGCAGGCAGCCTGTGGTCAGCTGGAACCTCTTTGCCTCTCACTGACCACATAAACATAATCATAGACACTTCAGTTCGGGCCATTTGAACTCAAAGTTTTTCTTATACCTTAGCAACGTGTGCATGGTTTGTCAGTTCTGGGCCAGTAGAGCTGTAGACAAAAATATACTGGTCTCAGTAGAAAGGACTTAAGAAACATCTCTAGAAACAATCATTCATAGGTATAATTATATAAATTATACAGTATATAAATTTTTTACCTTAGCAAAGGAGGTGGGTACAGATGAGAAGAAATGAAAGAGGAAATATAAGATGCACAGACTAGAAGGAAGAAGAAGCTCTAAATAAAGATTTTAAAAAAAAGAAGCTGGGGAAAAACAGTTAAACCAGTTCAGGTTTGAGCTGCCACTAACCTGCCAGCATTAACAGCCAGCCAGGAGCCAGGATTAACATAAACCTGGATTCCCTGTCCCTCTGACATACTCCAGTTGTCTGACAGCCCGTGGGGAGAGCAGTTCAATTTCCATATGGTTATCGTTGCTGTGATTTGACTCCCGAGTCATCTGCCAGTCATTTTGATCAGACTGTTGCTTATGGCTGCAGCAGTGATCTTGCACAAGGGACGGTTTGTGTGAGACAATGTAAAGCTTGGTTGTTGTAGAAGGTTGGAAAGAAAATTCGTCTAAAGGAAGTGTTTTAATTTCTTTCTTTCCTCCTCTTTTCTTCCTTCTATCCTTCCTTCCTGGTGTCTCATCCAATCTTTACCATATGTGAAACAAAACCACTTTGGACAGTTGCACCTGGGCTTTTGAAGAGAATGTTGAAACTCCAAACTGCCTGTGCCATGATGTGCAAATTTATTTGGCAGTGAAGAACACCATGTCAGCAGCATTTCAAAGACATGCAGACAGTTCAGTGTTATGGCTGTGAACAGTGTTGGTGCTATGATATGGAGATTAACAAAAATCAGTGAGCGTTTCCTTTATGAACCTGAAAGAACCATTTTATTTTAATTATTTTACAAGTACCTCTCTCTCACACGGCCATGTTAGCATAACAGAAATATTGTACCTTCAGGCTTTAGCCCTTGCCTTCCATGTAATTGACTGCTTCAAATGATGAATGTGGCCATCAAGGGATTTAAACCTAATCTATTACTTTGCACAGTGTAAGTCATTCTGCTTACTATTTATGTTGTACAATATTAAACTGAGCAGAAATCTATTTGTGTCCACCTGAAGCACCTCAGACACAGACTGTAGATTGAATCGTGTTGTAACCACACAGCGCTGCCCTTCTTATCTTTCTTCTCTGTATCTTTCCCTCTTTGTTGCCCTTCATCTTTGTTATTTCTCATCTGTTTTTCTGTCTGGCTGTGTTGTTCTCGATTGTGTGGGCTTTTTATTTCAGTGACATTGAACAGCAAACTCACTTGTCTTGGCATCATCTACTCAAGCGACACATCATTTTTCTCAGTCTCTCTGCTTTCACTCGTCACCTGCAGCTACAACTAAGAATTCACCCTTATCGAAAGTTCTGTTAAGAGGCAGAAAACAAAATCCACTCTGTTTGGTGATGCCCTGCAGTTTTTCAGATGATTCACTCAGCCCAAAAGCTGCTGCCTGATGCTGTAGTGTCTGGTGCTGTCCCCATTCCCCTCCTCCTCCCATCATCTCTCTCCCCACATCCTGTGTTGATGCACAGGATCATCTAGGAGCACCCATCTAAGCAGGTTGGCATAACATTAGAGAGGGCATGCTATTTGAAATGGTGAACATGTCACATATTTCAGATATGGATAAGTCTGCGGAGCAGCTACTTGTGGTGCTGATTTATGCAGGCTTTTATCCTTGATTTTGAGCTTCTAATAGACTTCATAGTTAAATGGGTTCTTTTCAAGTTATTTTTTTATTTTCGTAAAAGTATACCCTCTTTCTTACAGTAGATCAGCTCTGCATATGTGTGGCATGTATGGGTGTGGAAGTGATGAGACTTAATGTCACTGTCCCTGGTTAAAGAACTGGTTAAGCTAAGCACCCTAGTATAAGGTTAAAGCAGAATAATGTGATTTATGGTACTGTATTGCAGATAGTGAGAGCAGCTGTGTGTCATCAGTGCTTAATGTGTGGTTGGTAAAACTTGAAGGTGACTGATCATTTGTTTATATGTAAATTAGTTTGGAGAAGCAACACCTACCAAGCTCTATCCCACTTTTGATCTCTCTTATAGAACAACTTATAATTTGGGTTTTATACAAATAGATTCCTCTTGACTTGGTTGTAGACACTAGACAGCACTCGGATCACACAAAGCTGTGCCAAGGCAGCTCACTGTCCCCATAATGCCATTACACCTAAAAACAATATTCCCATGGTAGTTTGACCCTCAGAATGTGGTTCCTGGACCATGAAAACCTACCCTTAGCATTCAGAATCACATTGATAGATCTTATATAGATTTTATTTTGCAATTTTTGTCCAAGCACTTTAGGCATTAGTGTATGTATAGAGTCAGAAGCAAAAATATTGAAATTGGCCCTGTCTCACAATGGTGAAGAACGTGGCACCCAGATGATGATCTGGATTTTTTGAGGTATGCTGTGAACGCAATCGACAAACACCAGCAAAAACATTACCTCTGCCTTGTCGTAGAAGTACATATTCATTCTTGAATAACTCATAAGCTGTTAAACATTCATTTAAAGTATGGGAGAAATTTGCTAATTTGTCAGATGTGGGCAAAACAATACTGAACACTAGCATGAGTTAACATTGTGAGATGCATGTAGTGTGTATCAAGAATACACTGACATCATTTAGTATAACACAGTTACAGTTTAACGAACTGGTGAAACGTCTTCGACCTAGAAGTCTAGTCCAGTTGATTTTTTTCTAAGTTTTTTCAGTTTACTATGACCTGGATGACTGAGAATCTGCACAGACATACAGTTTAACTGATATGTGGTTTTCTTTCAGAAATACAAGGAGTTTGAGCGGGCAGTACGGGTGGAGGAGATTGATGGGCTGCGTCTGGTGAAGAGGCTGGCAGAGGACATGGAGGAGATGTTTCACAAGAAAGCCCAGGCAATGAAGGTATACTTGTTTCTATAACAAAATTTTTTATCTATCATGCTAATCCAACACTTTCCTTAGAATTTAAACCAAAGCACAAATGATAGAAGTTTGAAATACTCCTGTTTAAAAAGTATACAAAATCATGAGGAAATATAAACCTTTCTTTAAACTTGGCTAGGCTGTATTCATAAAAAAAAGCATTTCATATGTAGTATCTAAGAAATCGCAATGTCCAGCTAGTTATAAAAAAAAAAAGTATTGGTATAGTACATCTATTCACAGAGAGGCTGGAAAATTAAAGGGTGGAGGACTGAGTTTAGTGAAATCGCTTGGTAAATTGTTTATTTCTGGCCACTCTGCTGACCCGTTTGGATATCTGTATCTGGATATCTGACAATATGAGACATTTAAAGACGTCGCCTTTGACTCTGGAAAATCAAATTGTGCATTTTTGACAATTTTGACATGTGAATAAAACATTTAGTTAAAAATGCAGCTGATTATTCAGCAAGCCCGGCAGTTTTTCCCACTTATTTAAGCAGGATTTTTCTTTAATTTGTCACCCATTTGTTTGTCTTTGAAACATGTGGACTAAATATCATAGCATCCATATACTTCGATTGACAACCATGCATCGTCCTTGAGTATACGTGCTAGCTATTTTATACTGTTACACATCTCTGATGGGAATACTTTTTGCTCTGCTACATTTTTTTTTAAAAGCTATTTTTAAAAAATATGCGCTGTGATTTAGTCAGCCGGCTAAGTGACCCAGTTGTAGATTATGGCTACCTGGCTACTTTGTTTGCCGTCAGATTGAGAGATGTGCCCATATTAAGCCATGTAGAAGGCTCACACAGTTTGCCCTAATATTATCGTTATTTTAAGGCCATATCCTGCATCATGCCAGCCTCACCAGCCCCAGATTGACTCTCCCCCGATTGGCATCATTTATATTGCTCGTTGTCTCTGCCTAGTTTGCCCTTTATATTCACCTTGCCTCCCTTGGCTTGTTGCCAGTTCGTCTGTTCACATTATCAGGGACATGCTCCACTCACCTACCTGTTATGCTTCATTTTGGCCTTTCCTCTGTCTGTTTTCTGCCTGTTCTGAGCCCTGGACACCTACTGCTTTCCCCTCACTTGGTCTTTGCTCTTTGACCAGTTTGGTCAGTTGCTCATACCTCTAACCTGCTTCAAACAGTTTTGGTTGTAATGAGGCTGTTTTTCCTCCACTCTTCATATCTGCCACTTCTTCCTTTGAGTATTTACAGTATGCTAATTTATTTCCTGAGTTTGTTGTTTGAAATTGTAATTCCATTGCATTATCTCGCCTGTTTTCAGTTTGTTTTGCCATTAAATCACCTTATACTGTACCTCCTGGTTTAAAATATCTGGGTTCTTCATTAACCATTGTTGTCTGGACATGAGTGTTTATATAGCATGCTTGTCCATATTTGTGTGTAGATAAGTATTTCTGTGTGTGTTTGTGTTGTGTACCCCATGTTGTAACAGGTGCAGTTCAGGATGCGTCCACAGTGCACTGCCTCTCTTGTTGCCGCTCTAGCTCCAGGTGATAGATCTTATCAGGACATGGTGCTGTTGACAGAAATTGGATTTCTCTCTGAGAGCCTGGTCCATAGATACAAGCTGTTGAAAAGCAAGGGAAGGGAGCGAGAAGGTTGCAGATAGTGGCAAACCATTTCCGTGCTTTAGCTTTGCTTGAGCCCGTGTTATTATTCTTACATATGCGATTGTGTGGCTATGCCAGTTTCACAACAGTACGTTTACATTTACACCCATCCATATGCACACATCTTCACTGAACACACAGAGAAGATTAAATATTTTATGCTAATGAGTCATCTGCTGTTTAAAAAAGTAGGACTCCTGCTCTTATACAGCAATGGCTGGCATGAAAGCTAGGCTCTAATTGAATATTGTCAGTGGTTATGTTATTAAAGCCTATAATAGAAAACAGGACTTAATCAGTTTTCTAATAATGCTGAACATTGTTTTGCATATTAAACCACTGGTATACAGTTTCCAAACCAAAATTCCCTATTTAATTTACATATTTACCAATATTTTTTTCATTACAGAGAGACAAGTCATGTCAGCCTTGTTCAGCTTCTTATTAATGTACTTGTCATTTTCATTGAGCAGTGTGACTAGATGTACTGACTTGAATATCAGTTGTATGTGTGTGCCATCTTCATGAGAGTGTGTTAAAATCTCGGAGATAGAAAGAGGAATCTGTTGGCCAATTGCTTCTCTGAAGTTGCCTGTCCAGATGCCTGATAACTGTACATCCCAAGGGCCCAAAGGAGTAAACAATACAGGGAGAGATCAGTGGGCTCACAAATAGAGGTGAAAATCCTGAGAGGAAAAATAAACACATGTGAAGAAAGTGGAGGATTGACAAAAGGCTCCATGCAAACATCCTTGGTGAAATTAACCTTTGTCAGCTGCTCTCATGATTTGCTTCCCCCTTTCTCATTTTCAACACTGACAGTTATCCTTGAGATAAACTGTGTGATGTGAACATACAATGCAAGTGTCCATTCAGTCCTCTTCAGCTCAGTTATTTTCCCATTTCTCTCTGCTTTTATTACCAGCACTCTCATCTGTTTGGCCTAGTGTGCACTCCAACGGCAAATAGCTTAAGCATCCAGCTCTCTCTCTCTCTGCTTTCTCTACTCTGCTTCTTCACATTTCTGCTTTTTGCTAAAATGTATGTGGCACTTCAGCAATTCAATTTTCATGCAGGCACTCTCTCTTGTCCATCAACATGGTTTTATTTCTTCATCTCCACGTTAATTCCCCCTCTCTATTGCTCGCTGCCACCTGCTGAGAGTCAGGAGCCTCGGCTGACGTAAAAGGGTGAAGTGTGTGTGTAGGATAGCTGATGTCATTCTTTTTTAAGTGTGTTTAGGTGAAAAAGTTTGTGCTTTCATTGTTGTGTATACAATTATTCCTTTGATTTGAAGTGAGAAAGCTGATATGGTAGGTTTTATTGTGTGTGTGTGTGTGTGTGTGTGTGTGTGTGTGTGAAAGACAGCATGGCAGACTGTATGTATGTTTGTAATTGCACTTAGAAATAGTTTGATTGTGTTCATGTCTCAAAATCTGTTCCCTTTATAATTTGCACAGTTCTGTGGAAAACACAGTCTCCTCTCTGACAGTGAATAAAACCCTGGGCTAGATGAGTTATGGCTTTTAGTTGCTTCAACAAGTTAATTGCAACTCTACTATTATAAATACCACTAAAATGGTCAGTCACGCAGTAAGTGTGGTTGCAGTGGCCATTGTAATAATATTCACCTTTATTGGCCAAGTATGTTACACACAAGGGATTTGTTTCCAGTACACAACTGTTTGTGTTTACATTCTTGTGTGTACTGTAAATCCCTAGATGCCTGTGTGTATTTGTGTTTATTCCTGTGCTAAGTAAGCATGTTAACTCATTGTTGCTTTTAATTACTATTACCTTCATCAGCTCTTGGGTCAGTGGGATATTATCACCGTCCAACAGGCAGCAGCTCCTCTGCTCTCCTCTTTCCATCTGTCCTGAAAAAAGCTTGTCTGCTGGTTGGAAATGGCAGCAACAGCAGACGGTTAAAGAAACAGCGAACATGTTATCAGGGCTGTGTTTCATGTGACAAATGCACTTCAAAGCAGAGTGGATGCCTTTCCCCTGTAATGGCATTCAGTCTCTGCTCTGTACCTGCTGATACCACTTACCTGTGGCAGCTACACCTCTGTAGTCCTCAACATGATAACAGAGGACATCTGTATGCATGTGTAGTGGGTTGTATGGGTCTATAATAAAAGGCCCTCAAAATCTCCCATATCTTACACAAATTTTGTATTTCAACCATGTGAAACAATCATTTGCAGAAGACTATCGGAATAAAGATAATGGCTTAAAAGCATCCATATTTAAAGGTGAATTCTAGTTTATTCCAACTTTGGTCTTTCTCTCACAGTGTAGGTTGTCATTTGGTCACAACAAGATGAACAGATGGTGGCATTAATTCTCCAGTCAGGTGCCATTAAGCCTTTCTAGAAG